CATTATAATGTAAATAATAACAGCTTTTTAACCCCCCCACAAAACACACACACATTTGTGCATCCCTACTTAATAATATAATGTATTGCTGGGACTTGTGGTCCTGCATAGTTGGTGCTATTCTGTATTGCTGTATAATCATTATACAGTAATGCAGAATAGCTCCAACTATGCAGGACTACAAGTCCCAGCAATACATTATAATGTATGATAATAACATTTTTTAACCCTCCGCCCCCATCCCCCCATCCCCCACACACAGGTGCATCCCTACTTAATAATATAATGATTATACAGTAATGCAGAATAGCTCCAACTATGCAGGACTACAAGTCCCAGCAATACATTATAATGTGAATAAATATAAAATGAGTTTGTCTTCCACCCCTTTCCCCCCACACTGGACTTACCTGACTCCTACAGCCGCTCAGCTTCCTCGTCTTTGGCGGCCGGGGGGCGGGGCCGAGTGAAGAGGGTCCGTCCTCTCCCAGTCCCAGCTGAAGAATGTGCTGCCTGGCGGCGCCTGCTGTGTCGGTAGCGGCCCCGCCAGGCAGACAAGTGACACACAGAGGCACCTCTCTATCCCGCACAGCCGCTCATACATGCAGAGCGGCGGATGAAGGAGCAGCGCTATCTGGAGGGGAGGGGCATGAGGAAGCTTTCGGGCCCCCCCACACAGGCGGAACGCCAGGGCCCGGTCGCAATTGCGACCGTTGCGACCCTGGTAGTTCCGCCAGTGTGTGTATGTTTGGATGATTCCACTATCCCCCAAAAAATGGGCAGTCCACAGGTACTTCAGTGCTTTAGCCCTCATTCACACTAGAAAAGGCCGGTACGTACTGCTCGGTGCTGCGTGCAGGGCCGTATCGGGCAGCTCCCGGGAAGGACAGGTGCTGCGTGTGATTAGTACGCAGCCCCTGTCTTTCTCTATGGGAGTACAGGCCATATGCCGCCCTACGCTAATCTGCCCTGCACTCCCGTGCGGGTGTCCGTACTAGTAAGCTGACAGGAAGGATCCTGTCTGCGTCCGAGCCAGGAAACACGCACCGTGGACCTGCACTTGGGGTGAGCTTAGGCCGGCGTACGCTTAACAAAATATATATTAGGTCTTTTGATATGTTTGCAATTAAACACTATTATTGTTGCCTTTCCCTGTATTTTGAGAGCTGCTATATAGGCCAAGCAGTGTTAAAGGATGTGATAAATGCCTAGCTCCAGGGGGGAAAAAACTAACCTTGCAGTGGGGCTACCCCAGCACTTGAAGGGTTAACTGCTTGTTTAGGGTACCCGCGTAAAAAATGTTTACTTACCTGATCCCCGCTTCCCCAGCAGTCAGCAACTCTCCCCCCTAAGCTTCAGTTCGTGGACTATCCCTCAGCGTCCTTGCATAAGATGCAGAGCTATAGGCCCTGCATTAGATATGATGACATCAGCAGGCTTCCATTGCCGGAGTGAAGGGGGGTAGAGACTGCAGGCGCTGGTCTTGGAGCCTGTGGGATCACCAACCAGGTAAGTAAAAGTCCTTTCAACAATACCCCTAGATTAAAATAAGCAGTTAACCCTTGCAGTGCAGCAGTAGCCCCCCTATATACTTTTTTTCTGCAGATAGGCTATGAGATGCCTATGAACCAGGCAGACTAATGAATAGCGTAGGCGACTCTATGTTGCAGCAGTCCTAATAAAACCGCAGATTTGGTATGCACTAAAGTAAAGTGAACCTAACCAAGCAATAAATAAGAACTGATTCAAAATGATCAGCTTGCTCTGTTGTCTGACCTCTAAGCCTAGCCCCAGCCAGCTCTGTAGGCTAGGAGGGCCTTCAATCTGGATTGAGGGTTGAAACTTGCAGCGCTGACTAATTGAAGCACTCAGACAATAAGAAAACTTACATTCTAATAGATAATTGTCCCCGAACGCAGGATAGATGTGTTCAGGGGCAATCATCTATCCCAAACTGCAGGTAAGCATACCATGTACAATTACACATGGACTGCTGCTGACAGATGCGGCCTCTGTCACTCTGTGATTAGCGTAAATGACCACAGTGGGTGCATGTAAATGGGCACACCTGGGATCCCTGCAGCAAGAATCCCTGCAGCAGAAAATATGAAAAAATATTGAGACACATTGTCTATAATTATTCAGTAATTATCATTTTTTGTTTTACAACCACGTGACATCACTATTACTTTATAATTGCATCCATCAACAATTCAGTACAGTTCACAGATCTTTGTGGTCAGCACACATAGAGAAATAGGCAACATAGTGCAATCCAACAGTGCCCCTAGTGGCCTACTAGTGTGACTACTGGTGAAAATCACAAGCATTCTCCAAAAGATCCACTGCAGGAACATTTACAGTACATAAAGAAATGAAAAAAAGTGTCATAGACACAACACAATTAAATCAAACAGTTGTAAACAGAGGAAAAGCTGGAAATTTCTTAGCTCTAGCTCTTATGAAAGGGTTGAGGAATTAGGTCAGGTTTTAAAAGTGTATGGAACTTTTTTTTGCTGCCTCTTGGTCTGCTAAATGATAAGTGGGAAAAAAAACTGTTAATTTTGCCAGAAATCTTGTGAGCTAATAACTTCCAGTGCTCTCTGCCTGTGCACAAGGAGGGGTTATAAAGATGACGAGGCTGGGAGAAGGTAATCTATTGGAAAGGAAGTAGGCAGGGCTGACACTGCACACTTAGAAATTCAGAACTGATAATACACTATAAGAATTTATCAAAACAGGAGCAGACAGAATCTGGAGCAGCTGTGAATGGTAACCAACCGGCTTCTCTCTTCAGTTTGTTGAAGGAGAACTATGGGGTTAGGGCTTCTCCCCATAGTTCTCCTACAGGTAACGGGAGGACACAAACTAGCGTCCTACCGTCCTACCCAAAGCTCAGTATACCGCGAGCTACAGCTCGCGGTATACTGAGACGCCGCAGCCGGAACGGATCCCGACAATTATGTCTGGATCCGGTTGAGTGACAGCTGTACCCGCCCCCTCTCCGTCCATTCCGCCAGTCAGCGTTGAAGGATCGGACAGGGGAGGGGGGAATCCAGTCCCTCCGCTGTCACGGCTCTCTGCCAGCACAGGATCGAGAAGTGAGCGAGCGCTGGTATGTGTTCGCTCACTTCCCGATCTACTGAGCCGACCGGCGACAGTCTCATTGTCACAGGTCGGCTAGAACTATGAGGCTGAGTGAAAATCACTCACCTCATAGTTCTCCTTTAAGTAAAGATTTAAAAATGAAACGGAGAAGCTGATTGGCTGCCATGAACAGCTGCTCCAGTTTTGATAAATTCCCCTCCGTGTTGTCATGTCAAAGAGGACGTTAGGAGCACACTATATTTTTGGCACATCAAGAGGTTTTCTTTCTGTATTGCAGTCTATTTAAAGGGTTAAAATATGGGGAAAATATGCAAATGTCAGGCCGAACGTCGAAAATGTTTTTTTTTTTACTTTTTCACATTTTTGGAAATATTTTATTTTTATTTATTTTTTATAAACTTTTTATTTTTTTTAATATTTTATTTATAAATTTTTATTAAATTTTTTATTTTTTACTTTATTTTTAGGGGCTTTGGGGAAATATTAGGAGTCTAAACAGACACCTGATATTTCCCTTTTAAAATAGAAAAAGAGATTGAGGACACACGGTCCTCAATCTCTTTTTCTGCAGCCCGTGTTATAAATGAACAGGAATCCTCTATACTGAGTGTTCCTGTTCATTCAAAACTTGTGGAGATACGGTAGTATGTTTACCATGTCCACAATCATGAATGAACAGGAGGTGATGTAGATCTATTCCCATTGATTCATAATTGGGGGCACAGTAAACATACTATGGGGTCTATTCACAAAGCTGCCGAGGGCAGCCGAGTGAATGACCGATCAGAAGTGAAGTGAGCCGAACACTATTCGGCTATTCACTTCAGGCTGGTACGGCTGATTTCAGCCGTATATCGGCTGAAATTCAGCACCCCCTCGGTTCTCCTGAACCGAAGGGGTCCTGGTGCCGAAGCTAGCCGAAGGATCGGCCTAGGCAACGGCCAGATCCTTCGGCAGCTTTGTGAATAGACCCCTATATCCTCAATTATTTACAAACACTCAGCGATCTCTGATCACTGAGTGTTGTACCTGCTCTCCATCCTGACTCGCTGTCACAGCAGGCTGAGCGAGCAGTGCGGGGAGGAGAG